GCCGCTGCCAGGCGCTGCGTTGGGACAGGCCGCGTCCACGTGACCCGGGCCGCCGGGGCCATGACCCGCGCCCACGCTGTGGTACAGACTCACCCTCACTTTCCGGCCCCAAACGGTTCCTGGCTCCGTTTTACTCCAAGTCGAGGCCAAAGATTCTTCCCACCGCACGTGAAGCCCCACACGCACCATATGGCCCCGCCGTGCACTCGTATTCACAGGCCCCTCACTGCTGCCCTCGGATCCCACCTCGGGGCCGTTGCACATGCCGTTCCCTGCCTGAAACACTCTTCCCCAGGATCCTCACGACCCTTTTCTGTCCCCCTCCAAGGCTTTCTTTTAGAGAGAGATGGGGTCTCGCTGTGTTGCCCAGGAGTACAATACACTGCAGCCTCAGACTCCTGGGCTCAAGCCATCCTCCTGCCCCAGCCTCCCACAGTGCTGAGATTCCAAGCATAAGCCACCATGCCCAGCCCAGGTCTTCATTTGAATGCCATCTCGGGGTGAAGTGAGACCACTCCTGACCACCCTATCCAAAAGGTCCTGCCATTCCCACCCCAGCATTCCCTTCCCTGCTTTATTTTTTTCTCCTTGGCCTGTCTAAACCCTCAGCATGATGCCATAGACTTTCCTGCTTATCTCGCTAACAGCCTGTGGTCCCCACTGGAATCAAACTTCTGCAAGAACAGACTTCCTCACTCACCGCTGTCTCCCGGCACTTAGAACGGCCCCTAGGACGCAGGCACTCACTAGAGACTTGCCAACTGCCCACACCCCATGCCACCATTCCACCACACCCGCACATTAGCTGGCCTGTCCCGCAGGCCCTGAGCTCTGTTCATCCCTGGGGCCTAGTGCAGCGTCGGGAAACGTTCGCTGACCAACGAGCCGACCCCCAGGCCCACGTTCTCTGTGCTGGATGAGGGGAGGGGATGCCCTGGGTAAGCACCCCGGGGGGTGTGACGGGGCCACAGGAACTCACCCTCGTCCCCACCCACATCCACCAGCCGGTCCAGGAAGTCTCTCACGCGCGAGATGCTTTGCAGCAGGAAGGGGTGCAGGGGTGCCATCCACAGCTCCTTGCCCTGGCCCAGCTGCTGGCCCAGGTTCCCGATGCTCTGCACGGCCTGGAGCAGAGAAGCAGGGATGCCAAGGCCAAGGTCGCCGCAGAGCGCCCTCTGCCGACAGAACCTGGTTCCCAAATCAGTGTGCAACAGAAGCAGCTTCAGTCAGCCCCTGCCTAGGACGGCGTCTGTCTCCCTCGCCCTTGGGAGTCTGTACCCCAGTGCCCTTTTCGTGTCCCCTCCCGGCCCTCCCCTGCCCACTGCTCAATCCCATCACGCACGCTAAGGAGCCCATCAGGATCGCAACCTGTTGCCCCCTTCCAAAGGATGATCTGATTCGTGCTAAGGTGTTAATGACTGCTACCCTGCTTCCCGCTCCCCCCCCCCAAGAGCTGGGTTTCCATTTCAAAAGCGGAAATACGAGCATGGCGAAGGCCGCCTGCCTCCTCTGGGCGCCTCCGGGTCCCCTGCGGGTCTGGCCTCCCAGCCCTGCTCCTGCCAGGCCTTTCTCCCTGGGAGCCCCCAGGCCGGGCACCCCCTGCTGGCACCTTGGCAAGCAGCAGCAGGGAGCGGCCGGTCTGAGGGTCGGCGTGCTGGTCCCGAAGGTCGAACAGCTTCGGGGTGAGGATGGCAGGCGCGAAGAATCGCAGGAACAGGAAGCCGCTGATGGCCAAGTACTTCACGTCCTGCGGGGGGAGCAGCACGTCAGCAGGGCCCACATCCACTTCCCAGCTGGGTAAACCAAGGCAGCGAGGATTAGAAATCCGTGGTGCAAGGAGAAGCTGCGTGAGAAGTGGGTCAGGAGGCCATACAGGCCTGCCAAGGAGATTCTTCTTCTCTGGGCCTCAGTTTCTCTGCCTGGAAAATGGAGTAACGATACCCATCCTGCAAAATCAGATTAGGCCACACGTCCCCCGGGTCTGTGATAAGGGCACAGCCCTATGAGAGACGCACCGTTATTATTCCCATTTCACAGATAAGGAGGCGGAAGCTCAGAGACGTCAACTGACTTGCCCAAGGTCACATGGCTAACACGTAGAGGAGACGGGATTCAAACCAAGATCTCTGACTTATGATCTCAACAGTAGCAGGCCACACACATCTCTACACCTTCACCCTAGGAGGGATTATATCTCCATTTTATGGAGAAGGCATCTGAGATGGACCCAGAGACAGAAGGTCACTCGCCCAAGGCCACACAGCTCTAAGTGGCAGAGGCAGGATTTGGACACTGTTCTTCACCTCCCCCTCCTGGCATTCTGCACCTGCTACTTGCCCAGAATTTGAGACAAAGCCTGAACTATCGCACTTAGTCCTCAACACCGTGGGTAGGTATTATCATCTCCATTTTCTGGACAAGGAAACCGTGGCTTGGCAGTGAACCCAGTCTGATGGGCCCAAGAGTCTATCCTGGGTGCATCTGTCACCCCAAGTCTCTGCCCTCGCCAAATGGTATCCTGGGTGCACCTCTCACCCCTAGCCTCTGCCCTGGCCCACCCACCTGTATGGGGAACTGGTGCGTGGCCCCAGCGGGGGTGACTCAGAGCGGGTGCCCCTGCACACTGGGTGCCTCTGCTGTGCCCGCCCTCCTCTCACACTTGCCGATTATATTCAGTCCCGTGAGTGCACCTGTGTTTATTTAGAGATTGCATTCACACGTGAGGTCGCACCCTCCCCAGGGAGCACCGACTTCCTGGGTATCTCAGCCTTGACAGTGAGCTTGGCAGGAGCCGGGTATCTGGAGCTACCTGGGGGAGGGCCTCTCCTGCCCCTGGAGCCCTCGATGGTCCCCAAGGCCACCCCACCAGCAGTAACTTCACGGTAGAACAAAAACTTCCTCCTTTCTCGAGGGGGAGGAACAGGTGTCAGAAAAGACCGGCTAGGAGGTTTCCCTGGGCTCCCTGGCCTGAGAAAGTCCCTGCTCCCTGTCCACCTTGGCGTCTGAGAATTGGGGGGCCGTGGGCGTCACTGATACTCACGAGGGCTGGCTGCCTGGGGAGCTGGCACCCCCTTCTCCCCTGCGTCCTGCCCCTGCTGCAGCTGTGCCCTACTTAACACCCCTGCCGGCAGCCCAAGTGGAGCGTGAACCAAAACACATCCCAGTGAGAGGCCCGAGCTCACTCCGCAGCCAGGAGTAGGGGCCGAGGGGGACATCCCGGCTGGGAGGCTGGAGGCCTAGATCTGAGTCCACAACCCTTGGTTAAGTCATTTTAGCCTCTCCAGGCCTCGGTTTCCCCATCTGTAAACAGGGAGTGGAGAGACTGACATAAATCAAAAGCTCTTCACCAGGCTCTAGGATTGGCCTGTTCCGTCACCAGTGTTTTGCAGGTCTTGGATCTTCCTGCAGTGAGCCCCAGAAGCTTTTTGTTAACTACAAAAGCATTCGTCTCATGTGATGTCATTTGTAAGTGAGGATGATGACAGCCACTTCAGAAGATGTGCCGAGCAGTAAACCAGGGATCTCAAACTGGTGGCCTACAGGCCAGTCCAACCACAAATATGTAATGATTGGCCCCAAGTGTTTTTGTTTGTTTGTTTGTTTAGATGCATTAAGTGCCAGCATTTTAAAAATGAGAGAACTCACCGAAAACCCAGAATGTTGGTTTTCAAAGGAAAACACGCTGAAGGTCTGGCAATACTGGGCCCCTTCTACAGGGCAGTAAACCCTGGAGCTGCCTCTTTCACACCAGTTGTGGGAGCTCCAGGCTGCCACAGTCCTCACTGCTCCCTACTGCCCCATGCCTGCCAACTCTGTTCTTGTGCCAGGATCTCAATTTCAGCTTTTATATCAATGTTGGTCAAGCACCAGCACATGCCCGGATTTACCTGTAGGCTTTGTTTTGGGTGTTTCCCACTGAGCACCAACTGTGGGCCAGATATTTCCTCTTTTCTCTCTCTCTCTCATAGTTGGTGTGTAACTTCCTTTATGCAGACTGTATTATTTGGTAGTCACAAGCACAGACTCAGGAGACAGCCTGCTGCCTGGGTGACAGCCAATCCCAACACCTTCCCTTTCTAGCTGTGCAACTGAATCGCTCTGGGCCTCAGCTTCCTCCTCTAAAATGGTATGGAGTGGTATCAGTATCCATCTCCCAGTAATTGAAGACCAGACAAGGTAATAAACAAGTAGACTACTTAAAACAAGATCTGGTCCAGGCTACATAAAGTGTTAGCTGCTATTATCGTTATAATTATTTTAAGTCCTGCTCTGTGGCTCGGGCTGGAGTGCAGTGGCAGGGTCACAGCTCACCGCAGCGAGCCTCCCATCTCAGCCTCCCAAAGCACCAACTTTTTTTTTGAGTCAGAGTCTCACTCGGTCGCCCAGACTGGAGTGCAGTGGCCGCTCCCGGTCACCGCAGCCTCGACCTGCTGGGCTCCGGCGATCCTGCCGCCTCAGCCTTCCGAGTAGCTGGAACTACAGGCCCGCGCTACCACGCCCGGCTCACTTTTTGATTTATTGTAGAGGTGAGGTCTCACCAAGTTGCCCAGGCGGGTCACGAACAAGCACCAACTTTTATGACTTTGCCAGGACACAACGTGCCTTGGTGCGTGCAACCTGGGTTCCGGTCCCACCCCTGCCCTGGCCCTCGCGCCACCCTGGCCTGCTCC